AAATTATTAGTTTTCATGACATGTAATCAAGTTTCCGTGAACTGGTGTGTAGGTGAATGACAAAAGGAAAATAGGTAACAGAGAGTTCAAGGCTAAAGAGGACAGAAGGAAAAATATTGAATACACAGTTTACACGGCTAGGCAGTGTCCACCAACACAGCCGTGTAGCAGTTGGGACAGTCTTCATCTCATTTCCATAGTCTACCACACCCTGGGAAGGCGTCCACCACACCCATGTTAAAAAAAAAGAAAAAAAAGAAAATTCCAGACTCCTTTTACCCACCACCTGACATCCCAATTAATTCCCCACCTCCCCAAAAGCCTATCAACTCCTGACAACCCCATTAACTTCTCCTCTCCCCAAAAGCCATTAACTTTCCCAAACCCAATTCATTGACTTCCCCATTAACTTCCCCCCATACTTCCCCTACTCATCATACCACCTGACATCCCAATTAATTTCCCACCTCCCCAAAAGCCTATCAACTCCTGACAACCCCATTAACTTCTCCTCTCCCCAAAAGCCATTAACTTTCCCAAACCCAATTCATTGACTTCCCCATTAACTTCCCCCCATACTTCCCCTACTCATCATCCCACCCCATGCCGAAGTTCTCATTACACATTAACTCTTCTCTAACCCAAAGCTAGGAATGACTCCAACACCAAGACCATACCTCTGCAGTTCCAACGAGAGAAGCACCGTCCCGCAACTCCAACAATCTCCCATTCATCAACTGAGGAACAGAACTCATCCATTCAGCCCCATGGCTTCAAAACGCAGAAAAAGTAATGACGCAACAACCTCCAACTCACCGACAGCATTACAACACCGGTCTACAAGGGGTACCCCTACAACAACCGGCTCCACACACTTCGCTCCATGGTGCATCCACATCTAGTGCGTCCCCCAATTGGATCAACAGGTTCAACATGTTGGAGCGGGGGCAACAACAATTGAAAGAGTCTGTCCACTCATTACGACAAGATATGGGCACACAATTCACTGTCATTAACGTGTGTCTGGATGGTTTTGGCACTACACTAGGGACGATGAACCATTTGATACAAGATTTGCACCACTTTTTTCTACCTCATCCTTATGCACCTCCACCGCCACCTCAATGAGCGGTGAGTCTCTCTTATCCTCCTTTCAATTACTCAAACACATTGGGGACAATGTGCAATTCAAGCATTGGGGGATTGTGTGTGTTGGGATGATGTTTCATGTATGCTTTGGTATTTTTGAGTGCTTGTTTTCTGTATTGGGATTTTTCATTTAGCTCTCATAAAAAAACAAAAAAAAACAAAAAGAGTATCACTGTTTGAAAACCCTTCTAACACATGCATCATTTATTTCACATGCCACATTGTAAAAAATAAATAAATAAATAAAATCTTTGTTTCATGTTTAGTTGGTTAGGATGTTATCTATTCGAGTTCCACTTTATCGATACTTAACTCTAAACATTGGGGAGATGGGAATGGATTTTGGCTCAACCCATCTAATTAAAACCTAAGCTTCTTTGGTGACTTGGACTACTTTTTGGTTACTGGAGAAACACTCGGCCTTGTAAAAAAAAAGGGTCCTAAAGTCTGTTGCACCGAGTACCTGGCACCGCACCCTCAGAAGTATGGCTGTCACGTCGGTAGGTGTTAATTATGACGGGATCTTCAAAAAATTTTGAATAAATAAATAAAATGCAAGGAAACAGAGTGCTCCTTTGAGACCTTAAGCAGGAAGAGTATGACCCATTGTGATGAGATATGTGTCTGTCACGAGAAGTTTTGGGTAATCACAAATAAAAATTTTAACTTTGTCATGCCATTTCTTTTTCCAACGTTTATGAGTTGAGTCGCTTGCACTAACGTATGTGAACGCCTACAGATACATTTTCTTCAACTTTGAACTTAAGACAAGATTTCTATTTTGACATTGGGTTGAGTGGAATAATGTTGCATGTGAACTTGAGAATAGTGGATACTTTTGTGCTTAATTTCTATTTTCTTTGAATCTGTACCCTCTCATATGTGTGTTTCCATCTGTTTTGCTTGAGGACAAGCAATAGTTCAAGCATGGGGGAGTTGATAAACACAAATATCCTCTATAATTTGACTGTGTTTCACCTATGGATTTGTTGTTATTTGATATATTTCCTTGCACTTTTGCCCTGTTAAGCTCCCTAGTTCTTATTTACTGCTCTATTTATATATTGTGTAGGAATTACTGGAGCTTAGCATGGATTCAGAGTGAAAAAGGAATCAATGAATGCAAGGAAAGAAGGCTACACGGTCACCCCAGTGTTCAACAACACAGGCGTGTTGATTACAGAAGAAAAGCCCAGAAAGCAGAGCGAAATAGAGATAGACACGGCCTGGCCGTGTCGATCTACACAGTCGTGTCCGATATCGGTATTCAGTTATCACGCGATCTGAAGCAAGATTTGGAGTTATCTTTCAACACATGTTTCCCAGATTTAAAAGGGAGACGTCCTGAAGCATCGAAAAAAAAGCAGAGGCTGGAGATCTGGATTTTTCTTTCTTCTCTCTAAAAACTCTTAGATTAAGTTTTCTTTTGATTTGGAACCTGCTGTTTGTGGAGAATTGTGTGCAACTTCAACACTACGGTTTATCTTTCTGATCTATCTCAGTTTCCAGTTTGTGATTATGATCTTATATATTGTTATCATGTTTTCTATTTCAATTATGTGTGAGTAATTGTCTTATCTGGGATTGAACTAGGTTCGGCCATGGTTATGAATTAATGAACTGATTGTTGTTGTTATTGACTGTTCGATTTGCATTATTCAATTACTAGTATCTAATTGCCTAGGGTTAATTCAATTGGCCACTGATTTAATTCTTTTAGGATGTTGATTTGAACTGAAAGGTTAGATTAACGCCGGAAAATAGTAATTGAACAAGAATTAATTGATCACAAAAGTTGGTTAATTATTCTTGAGAACATGAGGGATTAACAAGAACTTAATGGGTTTAATTTAGTTCAACACCATGAAAATAGGTTGTTAGGCTAAATTAGGCACAACTTTTAGTTGTCGAAAGAGACTAATAGTTATCATAGGTTAGTCATTCTTAATGCATTGAGAGATTCGATAACAATTGATTAATTTGTTGATTCAAACTAGAGTTAAAACCGAAGTTCAATCCTAGATCCTTTTAATTGAGTGAATTCGCCGTTGATACTAGTTAGCGCGTTCATTATTGATAGTCAAAAATCATACTTTTTAGCACGATTGGTTTAGATAGTCAAAAAATAGTGAAAATCAGTAATTAACAACTAAGTCCCTGAGGATACGACCTTGCATCGCTATAACGATATCCGTGCACTTGCGGATTTGAGTGAACACTCGCGAGCGTGGAATACGAACGTTAATGTAGAATACGAACGTCGGAATACCCACGCGAGCTTGGAATACGAACGTTAGATTGACGTTGTTGTTGTGCTGTTGCTACAGAAATTGTGCCCGCATGAACCCCGAAACCGAAAGGTTTTGAACCGTAAGGTTCTGAGATCGAGGAGATCTTTTGTCTTGACCGAAAGGTCTTATAAAGGTTTTGAACCGTAAGGTTCTGAGATCGAGGAGATCTTTTGTCTTGACCGAAAGGTCTTATAGATCGAGGAGATCTTGACTCTGAGATCGAGGAGATCTTTTGTCTTGACCGAAAGGTCTTATAGATCGAGGAGATCTTGACAGTACTGATTTGGTGCATACCAGAGTACTGTACTGTTGTTCCTGAAAACAGTTTGGCCTTGGGATCCTTGCACCGGAGTAGGCCAAATATTGCTTTAAGCACAACGTTTTACAAACGCACAACAGTTATTGAAAAATAAAAAATAACAGCACATCATCCTTCACTGTTCAATTCCAGATTTAACCATAATTTCTAACACCTTCTTCTGTTTAAGATATGCTTTATTAGTTAACTGGATCTGCAAAACACGTTTAGCATGGGTCCTGACGAGCTCCCTCTGTTTATCTTATTAACATGCGATGCTAAAATATATTTTTTTATTTGTTGTTTCCTTGTAACTGATCTCTAGTGGAAGATAGGCAGGCAAAACAATGGGTTTAGCTATTCGTGTTTCTGATAAATCATTTACAAATGTGAAAAATAAGCACTCGTTCGTTCAGGTCAAAGGACAATTCCTTGAGGAGATCAGGGAAAGTTTAATGGAGTCCCAGTCCAATCTCTTTATGTTCCCATAGTTTTGCATTCCTCTCCTTCACTGAGCAGCATGTCAGGCTACAAACCATTAAGTTGGCTTATTTATTAATTTATTGGAAAAGCCTGCTCTTTTCACGGTTCAACTCTGGAGTCAAATTTTCATAGATAGTATGAACAATCAAGCTGATTTATTTATTTTGGAAGAGCCTGCTCTTTCCATGGTCCAATAAGTCTGTATTCAAATTTTGTAGATAGCATGTCACTGCTAGGTTTAGCGTTGGCATATTACTTCCTGTGACCATCAAAGTGTTAGCATTTCAGAGTATATACATTTTTTATTTGCAAAATTCTTATTATCAGATCCTAGTTTTATGTCAAAGCACATTTGCAAAATTCTTATTATCAGATCCTAGTTTTATGTCAAAGAAATTTGCGTGGTTGAAAATTATATGCATTTTGCTTGGTTTGTTTTCTTTACCTCTTGTAACTTTTTATGACAAGAGTTACATTGTACAAGCAGCATTTTTCTTTTTTAATTTGAAATGAAATCATGTATGCGCTTGTAAAAGTTTTCCTGCCTTGAAGCTTCATGCTGGTCTAATTTTGTGCAGTCCTTTTCTAAGAGCTCCACAAGTTGGATGGAGAGTGAATTCATCAATGTTGGTTGGTTACAGGTTTATTTTCCTTTCTTTGAACACAGAGAAGAAGAGAAAAAGAATGTATTTCGTTGAGGGGAGGGCTCCGGTAATGATTCTTCTATTTCGTTATATTTCTGCAAGTAGATTACACTCCCTTTTATAGGCCATAAATCCCACGCCCCCCCCCCCCCCCCCTCAATCCGTCTCTGAGAGAAAATCTATCAACAAACCCCAATTTTCTCGTTCTCCACGATTCTCTCTACTGAGAAACCGTGGTTGATTTGGTCATCCATGACCGAGTCAAGCTAACATCTCCCACTTGACCAAATTAACCAAGTGACATGCCTCCCACTATCCGTGAGATCGGATGTTTCTGCTTATCATTACTCCCACTATCCGTAGAGAGTAACTCTTATGTCATTATTCATGAAATTTTACTTGGACTTATTTATTCCTAAGTCCCATCAAACTTACATGTTTGATAAAAGATTCTGCTGGTATTCTTTTTGTCAAAGGATCAGCAATCATATCTGTAGTAGGGATATAAGTCACTTTGACTTCTCTCTTTTCTACAATATCTCAGTGATACTGAATCTCAATATGTTTTCCTTTGGAGCTATTCGCACCACTATTGATTAAGCTAATTGCTGCTTGATTATCATAATAAATATCAATAGGTCCTTCTAACAAATTGAGATCAAGATCAATCAAAAACCATCTTATCCAGACAGCATGTGTAGTTGCCATACTGCAAGCTATATATTCAGCTTCTTGCGTATATCTTGCAACACACCCTTGTTTCTTGCTACTCCAAGAAACAACTCCTCCTCCAAAGATAAATAAGTGTCCCGAAGTGGACTTTCCATCATCTTTATCACCTCCGAAATCAGCATCGGAATAACCGAGGAGTTCAAGCGAATCAGCTTGATAAACTAATCTATGAGTCAATGTACCTCTGATATACTTCATAATCCTTTTAACAGCTTCCCAATGTGCTGGTCCTGGATTACTTTGATATCTACTGACTAGACTCACAGCATAAGCTATATCAGGTCTGGTGCACAACATTACATACATCAAGCTTCCAATTGCTTGAGCATAAGGAACATCTAATAGTTTTTGCCCTTCTCCAGGGCTTTGCTCTTTACATAATCTCTTTCCTATAACCAACGGAGTTGGTGCCGGATTGGAATTCTCCATTCCAAACTTTTTAAGAACTGATCTTAAATATTTTTCTTGGTTTAAACTTAGCATTCTAGACTTTCTATCTCGAATTATTTGAATTCCAAGAATATATGATGCATCTCCCATGTCTTTCATCTTAATTTTTTCGCTGAGATCTGCTTTGATTTTATTCAACATTTCAATGTCATTTTCAGCGAGCAATATATCATCCACATATAATGATAATATAGTAAACTTGCTCCCACTTTTCAAGATATATACACAATTATCTAATTTATTTTGAATAAAACCAAGTTTAATGACCGCATCATGAAATTTGAGATACCATTGTCTAGAAGACTATTTTAAACCATATAGGGATTTCATTAATTTGTAAACTTTATGTTCCTATCTTTTCACCTGAAAACCTTCAGGTTGTTACATATATATTGCTTCCTTCAACTCTCCGTTAAGGAATGTAGTTTTAACATCCATTTGGAATAACTCCAAATCAAGATATGCAACAATAGCCAAAATAATTCTAATGGATGCAAATTTAGCCACAGAAGAATACGTCTCCTAAAAATCTATTACTGCCTTCTGGTTATAACCCTTGGCAACTAACCGTGTTTTAAATTTATCAATAGATCCATCAACACAATATTTCTTTTTAAGCACCCATTTGCATCCAATGACTTTTTTATTTTCTGGTAGATCACATAACTCCCATACCTTGTTCTTTTCTATGGAATCAAGTTCTTCTCTCATAGATTCTATCCATAAAGCTGATTCATGCGATTTCATCGCATCAGAAAAGGTTAAGGGGTCTTGTTCTTCTATATTTGTATCTACCAAAAAACAAGATGACTCACATGAATACAAATACTAATCATCCATCCATGAAGGTTGTGTTCTTGTCTTTTTGTTGCCTACAACCGGTTGATTAGGTACATTATCTTTTATAGGTATTTCATCATTTTTAAGGTTAGGTTCATTCACAATATCAGGGTCATTAGTGGGAACAACACTGTAATAATCATCATCTATTACAGTTAGAGGTTATGTTGTTGGCCTTCTTGTTTTGATGATGTTTAACAAACAATTTATTACTAATGTTGTTTGTCTAGTGTTTGTGTATTCCTATGTTTTGTAGATAAACAACGTTGTTGGAGGATGGATGGAATAGAGCTTCAACGATCATATCCAAAGGAGGTTGGCGGAATGTCGGTGAAGCCTTGCTATTCAAAGTTCAAGATCCAAGTTAAAGCTTCATCCGCGAGATTACCTAGAAGAGCTTATTGAAGATCAAGATCTAGCTTGGGTAATTTAGTTTAGGATTTATATTATGTGTGTTATATACTCTAAGCTCAATTATCTATACACACACATTTATTGGTTTCTTCGTATATATATATATATAGTCATATATATATATATATAAGTTTTGGTTTCTATGCATATATATAGTTATATATATACATATGTTTTGAGTTTTTATGGTTATATATATGAAATTCTATATTTCATATTTTCTATTATGTTTTTTGAAAACATTGCATAGAATATGTAATTTTGTGAAAATATTGTATTCTTAGTTTATAGACTTCAATATTAGTTTATACATGTTTTAATAAGTCTACAAAAACATTTCACAAAGTTTCAAAAGTTGGTTTATGTCAAAACATCAAAATTCAAGTATCTCATATTTTCATGTTTTGGACTAGTTTGTAAAATGATGATATTTTTCATTTGGGAAGTCCTTTTTGATAACCAGTCATTGTAGCATGTTTATTAT